AGATAGATAGATAGATAGATAGATAGATAGATAGATAGATAGATAGATAGATAGATAGATAGATAGATAGATAGATAGATAGATAGATAGATAGATAGATAGATAGATAGATAGATAGATAGATAGATAGATAGATAGATAGATAGATAGATAGATAGATAGATAGATAGATAAATTTCAAATATAAGATAAAGTTGTTATTTCATGCTGAATCATGTTTTACTAACGATATAATAATACAATAAAATCAGAACAGACAGAAGGATCTACTGTTGCGTTTGTTTCATAAGCAATACATCCACCTTGTGGCAACAGAAAGCGTTGCTGCAAACAGTTTTTTTTTATTTTTTTTATAAACAAGCAGACCGTCTCTCCAGGGATGGGAAATATATATATATATTTTCAAGAAGGCCAAAACAAGATATTTAAAGCAATTAAAGGGCCTCATACAAAACTGGTAAAAAATTAAGACTGATAAGACAGGCTTTTTCTTTTTGTAGCATAGTTAGCATGTTTGAGAAACAAATAAACAAAAAAGTCTCACCATTATTCTTCAAGAAAATTGTGACAACATATTTGTTAACTTAATTAAGCAAAAATAAAAAATAAAAAAAATAATAAAGTGTTATATGTTTGCTTTTTGGTGTCGTTAAGGTTCAGTCTAGCGCTGGAAACACGACTTAAAAAAGTTTTAGCTCATCTTAATCTAAAAGTCTTTGATGTATTACCTCTAAATATTTAAGTTAGACATATTTTAGTTCCATTAATAAAATGAAGGTTGTCAGTAAATTATTAAAAAGTGATTTTCTTTACAATTAAAGATTCTGAGGGCCAGCGGAACATTGTCCTAGGGCCCTATTTGGCCCTCCAGCCATATGTTGCCCTCATCTGGTCTACTCACATGGTATGTCCCTGTATCCGTTCTCCAAAGCATGGAAGTAGTTCATGAACTCCTTAACAGGAATCCTGAAGGTCTCAAAGAGACCAGTGTCCTCAAAGAGCCTAAAAGAAACCTAAGAAATAAGAACAGTCACTAAGAGATCACAAGACAGGAAATTTTAAAAGAGATTAGAAGTTGATCCCTTTTTCCCTACAGAAAAATTGGCATGAATTTGGCTTTTTTTTTTCACATTCGATCCCATGTGTAAAACCATGGATCACATGTACATGTTGGAAATGTTGCAAAATTACATGGAAAACATGTGAAAATATTCTACACATGTGTTTCACTTCTGTCCAGTGACAGAATTGAGGTAATTAAAATTACCAGGTAATTTAACGTTTTCACATGTGAAAGTGTGTAATTTACACATGGGAAGTTTGTGTGAGTATGAGGGTGAATAACTACTTAAATCAACAACTATTTTAAACAAACTGATAATAGAGTTTTCCATCCATCCATCCATCCATCCATCCATTATCTTTACTCGCTGCTTTCTTTTTGAGTCACGGGGGTCACTGGTGCCCATATCCAGCAGTCACTGTGGGAGAGGCGGGGGACACACTGGACAGGTCTCCAGTCCATCACAGGGACACATAGAGACAAACAACCATTCACTCTCTCACTCACACCTAGAGACAATTTAGAGTTACCAATCAGTCTAACATGCATGTTTTTGGTCTGTGGGAGGAAACCGGAGTACACGGAGAAAACCCACGCATGCATGGAGAGAACATGCAAACTCCACGCAGAAAACTCCCCAGCAGGGATTTGATCCGGCGACCTCGCTGAGAGGCAACAGCTCCACCAGCTGCGCCACCGCGCTGGCCCATAGCAGCGTTTTCAGAATATTTTTTAAAGCCACCAAAAAAACTTATAAGCAGCACCAAATTAAATATAGGTGTGATTGTATGGTAAACTGTTGTCTAGTGAATACAGTTAACAAATGATTCTGGAGCATTATTACTGGTACAGTAAGTGTTTACCTGGCTGAGGATGCAGCCCGTCTTGCCATGAGTCTTCTCAACAAGACTAAAAATGGGAAAGTTCCAGTTGTTGAGCTGACTCATCAGGGGCTCCAGCCCTGGCATTACTGGACCTTCTGGGTCAGAGATGGGCTTATCCTAAAAGGTGAACATAAAGCAGGAAAGGTCGAGTTTAAAAACAAAAAAGTAAGTCAAATTTAAAGTAAGTCTTTGTAGGCCCAGTTCTCAGCAGTATTTCTTATATTTATCAAATGCATTTCCTAAAATATCCCTGCAGTGATATCATATGAAAATACTGCCGACCTCTGGCGATGACTGCAGTGGGTGAAGAACGATGACCTCTGCTGGATACTCCCTGCAACCTTCTCTTGCTTCAGGCGGCTTCTTGCCTCCTTCTCCCTCCTCCTCATTTTGTGCAAAGTCGCTGCTGTCACTGTGATTGGTCTCATAGGTGCTGTCGTAGGTGCTGTCATAGTCTGAAGATGCTACTGCACGCTCATCTGGGAAGACATTCCTGACATTAGAAACGTGCTGTTTTATTTGTGTGTATCCACCTAACATCTCTACATCTTATCTTTTCACTGACTCTGTGAGGGACGCATTTCTGTGAGCCTGTTGGCCCATGAGATTTCTGTTGGTAGGTATCCTATTGAGCCTTTACCTGGGTGGGGTATTCTGTCTCCTTTGATACCAGTCTCTACGCCATTGTTGAGCCGATTGTTAAACGGCCTGCCACAACTTAAAGACAAAAAGTAGAGAAACAATAAATCAGTCGGACAACTTCCAGTTTCCTTTTTTCCTTTCAATAAATGCAAATCTTCACTGACACACTGCCATACAGACAGACATGTGTACAAACACTTTGAATTTCTGCTTCCTATAGCTGGAATTACTGAATGAAATATTAAATTAGACTTCTTTCTCGAAGGAATGCATGCCACCTGCAATCTTTCATGCCAGAGTTTTAATCTAAGATCATCTTATGATGAGAAGGAACACAGTTATCAACAATGTGTTCAAACCTTGAAGATGACAGTTCAATTCAATTCAGTTCAGTTTATTTATAAAGCGCCAAGTCACAACAGAAGTCATCTCAGGGCACTGAACAGAAACATTCATATATATTTCATATATATATATATATATATATATATATATATATATATATATATATATATATATATATATATACTGTATATAGTGTGCCAGTTTCTTGCAACATTGTAAGCTCTCATGAGGTGTGATAGTAAATGGTCTGTACTTACTGTATTAAAGTGCATTTCTATCTTATAAGATACTCAAAGTGCTTTACAACACAATCTGTGCCCTCATTTACCCATTCACACAGCACTCTACTATTTCTGTACAAAGAATAATCAGAGCTTTATCACATTCATACACCGATGGGACACACATCGGAGGCAATGAGGGGTTCAGTGTCTTGCCCAGGGACACTTCAGCATGTGACTGCTGACAATACAATGTGACTTTCTGGATTTTATTTTTGATATTCTATCTCCCACTGTTAAAATTAACCTACCCTTAAAATTATAGACTGCTCATATCTTTGTCAGTGGGCTAACTTACAAAATCAGCAAGGGATCAAATAATTATTTCCTTAACTGTATATGGGTGTAAGCACTATTTAAGAGGATAAATCAGTCTCAAACGTAATCACACAAGCGTACAATAAGCTCCACGAGCGTGCCACAAGTTTTACAAATGTGTACTACAAGATTCACAAATGCATAAACAGGTTTTCAAATGTACTCATTAAATTAGCACAAGTAGGAATATTTTGTGCCTACAAATGATCAAATACACGTGTACAAATCATCTGCTGTGGACATATTAGTCAACACGAGCGCACGGCCCAGCTTACTTGTGAATGTGACTTTTGAGAGTTTCTTGTTGCTCTAGATCCACAAAGGTAATGAGCCTTACCAGATTTACAGTTACTGAGAAAATACACATTTCTAACTAGGCACGATAGCTCATAAACCTTATATTAATACACATCTCGCACAATGCACATACATTTAAAATACATTTTCTGGTATTTTCTTCCTCTGCACAAAATACCAGAGGATATATATTCCCACTAGTTTTTCCACAAGAATATATATATATTTTTTGTTTGTTTGACTGTACAGATGAAATAAACATCAATACTGGTTAGGTTATTCTTCTTGTGGAAAAACTGCAAGGAAAATATTTTTTTCCAATAAAAAAATAAAATCGAGAAAAATTTTCATGAAGAAATCCTGCTCATTTTAGGTTGTTTATTTTAGCTGTACAGTTCCTTTAATTAATGTCTTTGGACTCCAGAAATGTTAATGTAAGCATATACAATTTAATATAGCAGTCATGAGCTCATGTGTCAAGTTAGAAATGTGTCTCTTTCCCACTAACTCAGTAAATCCTCACTCGCTCTCATGAAAGGCAGACACTTTTTCTCCTCCTCCTGCTTTTTTTTTTTTTTTCTCTGTCTGTGTATCGGAGCTCCTATTTTACACATCTTCCGAAACTAAAACTATTGTTACGGCTCTGGTCAGCTGGACTTTCAATGCAATCGATAAAATCTTTTCAACAAAGCGACAGGGTCCTGGAGAGCCCTCATGCCCCGCTGAGATGCACGCGACAGAATACATCATGAATCCATGGAGAGTTTGGGAGCTGTTGTGTCTTTCTGTATTGTCTCAGTAGGATGCCAAAGATATTTATATAATTGAAACCATGATAGCAGGGTTTCTGCTTTTTGGCATGAGCAGATTCCTTTGTTATCGGCTACTACAGAAGATGGTGGCAGCAGTTTCAGCCATGGCAAAACTGCTGAGTCTGTGTAAAGGTTTGGTTCATGCTACGAGTACTCAAAATCAGCTGATTTATGAGCTAAACCTTAAGATGGAAGCAATTTGTGAGAATTGCAGGTCATCTGCGGCTTTTGGGACTCACCAGAATGTTGGGGACAACCTTGGAGGGGGCTAATAAGCACGGACCATTTGAATGCCCACTAATCTGATCATTTTAGGATTGAAAGTACCAGCAGGACTCAAGGCTGACAAGAAAAAAACTGCCTAAAAAAATCAACAATTGTGTCTTATTTGAATCTGACTCCCCCGGGTGGCCTCAAAGCAGGCCAATATCAAATTTCTCCTGGGATACGTGTAAACTAAGAAAAAGCTATGTCTATCACAAACCCCCCACCACCACCGAGAACTTCTGTGAAGGCTTATCAGAGCTGTACCAGCTGACGTCAGGACAGTGGTCTGTCTGGAAGTGCTTCATGGACAAATTCCACTACCTTGCCGTCAAATGCATATGTAAAGTGTTTATAAATGTGCTTGTTTGTAGAGTTTTATTTATGTCTTAAATCATGTCTTGATAAGGACAAGGTGTGAAGATATCTTTTTTGTAATACCACTATCCTCTCCTCATGCCCTTTTCCCCCTTTTCTATCTAAAAAGTATTCTGAAAAAGGATAAGGGGCCGCGCTCTCATGGAGCAGCAGCAACGTGCACTCTGCCCATCTTTCGGACAACTGTACGAATATAATCTCACTGTATTTCAGTACAATGATAATAAAGCTTATTCTGATTATGATTCTGAAATCTGGTAAGACTCAGATGTCCCAGCTTTTCACGAGCCTGGAACATAGTATTTATTACCCTTGTGAGCTAGAGCAGTAAGAAAGTCTCAAAAGTCACATTCACATGCTGATCTGAGCCCTTGTGTTGACTGATTCATCCAAAGCAGGTGATTTGTGCACATGTATTTGACAAATTGTACACAGATTATTCTTATTTGTGCAAATCGAAATGTGTACATTTGAAAAACTGTTTATGCATTTGCAAATCTTGTAGTATGCATTTGCCAAACTTGTGGCATGCTTGTGGATCTTATTGGATGCATGCAAATCTTGTTGTACGCTTGTTCAACTACTTTTGAGACTGATTTATCTTCATAATTATTGCTGCTTTGCTTTTGGCAACAAGCGATAAAGAGCCTGATTCATAAAGACAACCTGCTGCAGAGAGGTGGAGGCCGCCAGTGAATGGTAGTGGAGCTCGGAGCGCTCTGGCTATGAGTTAAGGCTCTGTGATGGCTCTTGGGGGCCACAGAGCCAGGTATTTGCTCTGTCTGCAGCACTGCAGGCTCAGGAAGCTGCACTGAACACGTCTTTGTTGTAGGGCTGGAAACAGGAGTTCCCTGAATAGGAGGGGATGAGCATGGAGAGCCCAGAGGTGATATGTTGGATGGAGGGAAACCTGAAAGAGATTGTCACAAAATTTTTAATAATATTAATAGAGCAAAGGACTGACCAGAGTGTCTTGGTAACACTGTAAAAACACACACCTGGTCTTCCCAGTGGTTTGCTGTAGAGGTGATTGGAAGTGCCTGAGGCAGACATAGAGCGGCTCTTTGAGATGGTGATCATCAATGGGTTGTTCCACGAATCACTACTTTAATATATATTTATATAAAAACAGTCAGACAGAGACATTTAAATATTTCTACAATGTTTGAGGTTATGAGGATATCACCTGTCTGAAGTGTGTCTGATGCTGGCTGAGCGGTCTCTGTGCAGCGGCTCCGGCTCGATGGTGGGCAGCCCTGTCGCTGAAGTTGTGGTGGTCCAGGTTGATGAAATTTTCCTCAGCAGTCCCGGGGGCAGACTCCTTCTCAGACGCTGCAGTACCAAACAATAACATGCATGTTTGCACACTTTAAGCAAACTTTTTTCAATCTACCCAAGACAATTTACAGTTAGAAGAAATGCACTGAAAATAATACACATGCATAGATGCAGGTCTCAGAGTTTGATGGACCTGAGGTGTGAAATATGAATTTCCTAGAATCCTGCATAAATCGTTTTATGTTTTGTGATTACTGTTTTGTAGATAGCTTTTTAAACTGTCTCAATTTGAGTAAAACTAAAGAGTGTTTAAAATTAAAATTGGATTGACAAGCTGATGGCTGGTCCAGTCAGAGCAAAGACTGTGATTTTGCTGTTCGTTTGTTTGATTGTGGTTTTCTTAAAACAATGTCAAAACCCTCAGATTGGTTCAGACAATTGATATTTTAAAAACCTTTACACTGTCAACAGTTTAATATCCCACAGTTAATCAGGCAGAAGTATTATGATGTTCCTGCAGGAACTTTCCCTGGCTGTGCCAGCAGTGCTACAGCTAGCTGCTGCTGTTTCCAAAGTCAGGTCATGGTGGGGCAGCAGCTTAAGCAGGGAGGCTCAGATATGTTTTTCCACTGCCACCTCTTCCAGCACTGCTGGGATGATTCCAAGGTGTCCCCAGGCCAACTGAGAGACATAGTCTCTCCAGCATGTCCTGGGTCTTCCCTAGGGTCGCCTCCCAGTTGGACATGCCCAAAGCACCACCCTAGGGAGGTGCCCAGGGAGCACCCTTACCAGAGAATGTGACCATAGGTGAGGGTAGGAACGTAGACCGACCATTAAAAAGAGAGTTTTGCCTTACAGCTCAGCTCCCTCTTCACCACAACAGACCGGTAATAAACATGTAAGGAAATTATTTGGCAATGGTTCATAAATGGTTCATAAAACTGTATTTGCTACAAACTGTTTGAGACTGGGGTTGTATTAATATGGCAGCAAAGCAACTTGACCTTTCTCTAGTTACAGTTACTAATCAGCACATGTGCCAGTCATTTGAAATACCTTTTTTTTTTGTATATAAAAAAAAAAAAGTTGTTGAATCTCAGAGCATCTTAAAATGTATAATCACTGAATTGACAGGTCTCCAGTCCATCACAGGGCCACATAGAGGCAAACGAGACAAACAACCATTCACCCTCACTCACACCTAGGGACAATTTAGAGTCACCAATCAGTCTAACATGCATGTTTTTTGTCTGTGGGAGGAAACCGGAGTACCCGGAGAAAACCCACGCATGCACGGAGAGAACATGCAAACTCCACCCAGAGGGGTCGCAGGCCAGGATTTGATCCTGGCGACCTTCTCGCTGAGAGGCAACAGCTCTACCAACTGTGCCACCGTGCTGCCCCCTATCAAAACGATTAAAAAATAAATTAAAACAGAGATTTACTCCTCTTTTTACACCTTTTATTCACATTGCAATCGTAAAATTGCAAGTTTTTGTGAACACCCCCCTCCCGAACATTTATATGCATATACATTAAAATGTGTTTTAACTGGGCATTTTTAATACTCTGGGTGTTTTTTTTTTTTTTTTGTACACATACACATAAATAAGATATTCAGACATTTTCATTACATGATGTCCTTCCCTATTTCCACGCATGCTAACTTTCACTTTGTGCTCGAAACCAATGCGGTCATTTTTATTGCATTTTCTACACCTGTTTCATTTTATCATGAACATGTTGCTATGGAAATCCTGAAACTAATAATATCTGAGTGAAAACTCTAACCTGTATTAAAAAGGAGTTTGAGGTCAAATAGTATCCATGCTGAGCATGCTCTTTTTTTTTAATATGTAGATGTTATTTATGTGTTCTCACCAACAACTAATGCCATATGAGTATTTCAGCATTTTTGTTCAAATCAAATAAACAAATACTTTTTAATATAAAAAAAAAAAATAACATTAATTGAGAATAGTATCCACAGTTGTTAAGAATGAGCCTAAAGCTAGCTGTTTACTGGAGCTGAAAAATATCTTCAGCTCCAGTAAATGTTTCAGGCAGCTCCTATCAGACCACAGTTATCTGTTTCCACTGTCAACAGTCCTGCACAGAAAGTCTGCTGACCTAAATAAACTGAACTCCTGATTGCACTGAAAATTCTCATTCCCAGCCAAAATATGAGTACTAAATACAGTATGACCTAAAATGGAATATCATATGAAGAACAGTGGTATAAACATCCTAGCTGGTTTGCTAAGAGACGTGTGCATTGTATAAAATACACATTAATGGAGCCTGTTTATGTTGGTGAATGTTTTAAAACAGTATTTACCAAATCAATGAGGGTAAAAGACTCAACAGAATCCTGTAATATGAACTCATGTGAAACCTGAAAAAGATCATCTACATTCAGCCAATATGGAGCTGGACAGAGAGTCCCATATGAGTTTGGTTTATAAGTCATTTATTACAAAAATAATGCAGGTGCTGCATACAAATGTCATCTGGAAGCTGGTCACGTAGTCAAAAACAACAAAACACAATTATGTTGAGCATTTTAATTTTCTAACAACCTGAACTGAGAAGCATTTTTCATTTTAGATGGCTACATTGTCCCCCTAGAAATCTCACCAAATGACCAAATTCTATCATAATTTTAAGAGTTTCATATCTTCCCATCAAAGCGCCTCGCTCTCAGATTTCATGTTTACTTTTGGCATTTGAAGATTGTAAAAGTGGAAATGAAGGTGGAGTCTGGGATTTCCTTTAGTTTTGCAGTAAAATATTGCGTTTATTGTTTTAGTGCTTAGCATATTTTTAGCTGATATTTTTCTTAGTTCATATCTTAGATCTTATTACTGTTTTCCTTTTACATTTTATTGTTGGATGTAACTGGGACCCTATGTACATAATTTCGTTCCACCACATGCACCGAATGGTGCGAATGACACTAAAGAATCTCTGAATCTCTGAAAGACCAGCTGGTGGTGGACGGCACATATTGTTGCACTAACAGTTTCGTTCCTCTCTGTCCCACCACAGACATGGCTGAACGAGTGTTTTGTTGTGTTTGTGTTATTTGGAATTAAACTACATGGGTACCCCAAACTGCTGGAGCTGGATGAGAGAAAAGGACAAATAAATGTATTGTCAAAGGCTGAGTAAAAAGCATGTCAAATGTTGCACTGTGAATTATCTTTGGGGAAAAAGAAAGAAGTGAGTAAAAGATGATGGATGGATAGATGGATGAACTCCTTTTTGTTGTGCTAATCTGAACAAGAAACCTTTCACAGCAGTGTCAGGGAGTTGAACCATCAACTGTACCCACTATGACACATGCAGATGTACAAATGCCCAATGAGGTAAAACCCTGCACCACCTCATTAGGATTATGTGGGTGAAAAACAGCCTGTTACTTTACAGCCATTTTTTTAAATCACAACACATGCATTGTTATCACCAACCACCATAAAAGGTGAGCAATGAGATAGTTGCCTGTGTCTCTGATTGTTAGCAAAATATGTTGAATCACTAGATGGATTTAAATGAAACTCAGAAGAAACGATTTGCTGTACAACTACTGTTAGGGACTTTTTTTGTCAAAGGTTATGAAGGTTTTTATTACTATGGCTGAGAATCTTAACTCTGCCCATGAACCATATGTTTGGTTTAGCAGAGAGAGCTGAATGAGGAGCTGAGTGAGGCTGCATGATGCAGCTGGCAGCCAAGGACACCCCCCAGTTCTGTGAACTCAGCTGAACTGATAAAGTATAAAAGCAAGCTGAGAAGATGGCTCGGGGCAGATTCCAGTGACTGGTCTTGCATTAAAGTCAAAGTTTCTTTATTTGTCGTTCCACCACATGTGGTACATGTGGTGGAACAAAATTGGGTACACATGGTCCCAGTTACATCCAACAAAAGTATAAATTGTAAAGAAAAACATTAATAAGATCTAAGATATGAACTAATGAATACACTCAACTAAGAATGCACTAAGCACTAGTAGTACAAAAACAATACGCCGAACAACAGCAGCATGAACATGAGTCTTTGCGAGCAGATGAGTACGAATGAACACAGCAGTGTGAAATAAACAAAGGAGCAGCATAAGATCAGCAGCATGGATAATCAGCAGCACATATCAACAACCAAGTGGGATTACACTGATTTTTTTTTTTTTCCACAGTGATAATACTGGTTAGAGATTCATGAGTCTAACAGCTTCAGGGTAGAAGCTGTTCCTCAGTCTAGCGGTTCTACACCTAATGCTCCTCAACCTCCTTCCTGAGGGAAGTCGGGCAAAAAGTGTGTGTGCTGGGTGAGTGGGGTCCTTCGTGATGCAGGTGGCTCTCTTCCTGCATATGGAGGTGTAGATGTCTCTGATGGTGGGGAGACTGACTCCAACAGACTTCTGTGCAGCCTTCACCACTCTCTCTAAAGCTTTTCTCTTCGCAGTTGTGCTGTAAAACTTTAGAACATGTAGAACATGTACTTTATGTATATTTATGTAACCTGTCCTGAATATCTGATGTTGCAAGTAAATACCAGATAAAAATCGTCTGCCATCAGTAGTGGTTATTTTTAAGTACCGCTAAGTAAGATGAGCAAGAAAATTTTTCTACATTATGTTTTCTTTTCGGACTTTTGGCCACCTCAGGTATTAAACCATAGCAAATACTGAAATGACTATAGCTTTGTTATTTTACAGATACTGAGCTAAAATCTGCTGTGGTAGGAGATGAGAATCATCCACATCACAGTCTTTGCAAGCTAACAAATGATGTGACATCTTTGTTTAAAACTTTGACTTGAAGGGCAACTGTTGGCCAAGATGGCCGCGCTCAGAGCAGTTGCAGCTTCACAGGCTCCCGGTACCATCCCAGTTCTTAGAAGTTTTGATATTGACTCTGTGCCTGACTCTGCGCGATTTATGCGTGTGAACTTTAGCCGAACCGAACTGATGAGAATAGGAGTGGATTTGCCACGAAATATAGCAGAAATCAGCAACAAACTCAAAGCTACGCTCGGCAGAATGCAGATCTTAAAGT